TAAGATAGGAAATTTGAATTATTGAAGTTACTGTTCTATATTCATTCACACTATTAAATAGTAGTAAGATTATATATAATTAATATTTAATTTATTACTAGTGTATTGAAACATCAAGAAATGTGATAAAAGTTGCTTTCTTCCTTGAATATTTACAAACATATTAGCATTATGTTCTTTGAAATACTCTTTTAGCTGCAGTCCATTCTAAGCTTGTCACAAGTCATAAGTAACCTTTCTACCATCACCATCACCAAACTTCAAAAGTTGTAGGAACAAAGTTATACACATATGTAATTTAAAATTTTTGACTACAGTAAATTTGTGAATCAATTTATCTGTCACAGCAGGAATCATGGATTATATAGAGTCTAAAAAAGAGGAGAAGGAGTTACCATCATAACTTATAAGTACAGTCTGTAATAGCTGATATAGTGAAGGCATGAATGCACAGTTGCACGTTCTACCTTTGAGAATTGTCTGCCAAAATTCAGTTTCAGGGAGCTCATTTTTAGGTATCACTTTTGCAAACATCACTGTCAAGATGAATTTTTTCCTGTATACTTCTGAAGCTAGTTCTTTGATAAAATTGTTAAAAGATTCTATTCATTAGTCAGTGTTTAATTCTGAAAATATTAATTATTATTGCATTAGTGTTTCTGAGGATAATATGCATGTTTTTTAGTGTCCTATGTGCTAATACCTGGTATCTTATACAGTATGGGTTCAAAAAAGGCTTTTGAATAAATGAAAAAATTTAGTTCTTTCTTTATTGTTATCATTTTTTTCCCTCTGTCTTCTACATGGGTATTGTGAAATCCCTGCTCTCTGAACCAGCCCCCCAATATTCATAGCTTGGTGCATAATAGCAATTTAGTAGGAATTGTTTTGGGAGGTGATAAAGACGTCACTTTTCCTTCTAAGAATTATTACAATCTAAGGACCTTCTTCCTAGAAGGATGCACATATTCTTACATGTACAATATTTATTTATACTTTCAGAGAGTAAATGCCATCCCTCTTGCCCAAGTTTATTATCATGGTGAGAACTCATGGAATAGTATTAAACCTATTTAAATGATTCCTGGAGATGAGACTTACTAGCTTTTTGGAGTACAATTATTTTTAAAATTTTTAACTAGCTTTTTAAGGTCTCTCCTCACAAAAAGATTAGGAAGTTGATTACATTGGAAGGATAGATCTTGAAAAATATTTAAATATTTAGAGACTCTATAGGCTCCTAATGTGGAGGGGATGCAGAAACTGGGTAAGTGGGCTCTGCTCAGTAGTTGATCTTGGGCACCTACCGAGGGGTCCTTATGATTGATTTTATAATTCAGGAACACAGTGACAATTAGGCACATTTTATAAAACATATTGTTGGTTAGTTCAAAATCTGTCAAATACCACCCCCCAAAATATTTCAAACTAATTTCTCGTCATCGCTGACTTTCTGGGTTAAACCTTCACAAGTCATATTGACCCTATGGACACATCACTGGCTTCATGTGAGATGATCTAGCTCTGCCATTTTCACTGAAAAACTTCTAACAACTTTCTGATCTAACTTGATCTCAGTTTCCATATCTCCACATTGGTAGTGCTAATATTCAACAATAATACCTCACAATATTGTAATAATAACATGAAATTTGTTTGCTAAATCACATTTGCTCTACATGATGTTTGTCTTACTTTTCTTGTTGCTGAGACAAAATACCCAACATCCAAAGGTAAAGGAGGAAAGATTTATTTTAGCTCACAGTTTGCAGAGGTTTCGGTTCATAGTTGGTTGGCCCCAAGGCAGGGTGCATGGCAGAGGAGAAGTGGTTCATGGTGGGCATAGGGAAGGAAAGCAAAATTATTAAGCAGCAAGCAGTGAAGCAGCAGCAGCGTGCCTCTCTTTTTATTTCTTTCAGGCTACCTGCCCTTTGGGTTTGTGCCACCCACTCCCAGGATGGACCATCCCATCATCCACACCCAGGACTCTTCCAAACCAGTGAACTAATTTAGTAGTTACACACCCTTAATCCCAGTGTTGCACACACTAGTTCCAGCCTTCTCCAAAAAGCCCCTCCTTGACCACATGAGGTGTTGGGGGACATCTAGGTACAAACCCTGACAGTGTTAGTTTGATGATTAATCCTGAAAGACATCAAAATATTTCCAGGTAAGTGTAAATCACCAACATTTTATAATAATGTTTTTTAGATTTTTTTTGCAGGGTATAGGGGTAGTTCTTTGGGTCCAAAGTATAGCCTGAATCAATAGCAGGACGTGATATGTTGGAAATAATCAAACTCCCCTTAGGATTTTTGTTTGGAAACTAGGATATGATCATACTTTTATTTTGAAGAAAGTAACGTTTAATTATTGGAATATTCAGTTCATTGAATTGATTTAAAATGGCTCAGAATATTTCTATCCCTTTAAAAATAAAATTTGTGTGTTGTGGGGGAGTCACATATCAGTTAAATGCTATAAAACCACCCAAAGTATGTCAGGTTAATAAACCAATTTTATTTTATGTCAACATTCAGCTTAAGAGTTGACATGAATTGTATGAGTCAGATTTTCACTGTGACTGAAATACCTGAGAAACAACTTTTATTAAAGAACTAAATCCAAAACAATAGTTAGACCTTGTAACTAAAAATGAGATTAGGGATTTGTTTTTACAACTATTGGACTAGAGATCTTTCAAGATTTCTCTCCCTACTCCTCATATTGCCCTAACCTTAGTACAGCACATTTCTTTAGGTCTGTCATCTTTTTGAAGGTTTATGTGACACTGTTTACATTAAGAAACACGTTCACACTTGTTTGTTCATCTGGTTGCAAAGGTGTTCTCCCAGGCCACAGTGGCCAGAGTTGAGGCTTTTTGTCTTCTAGACTTGCAGATATGGCAAGAGTTTTGAGCAGATTGATGGAGAGTCACAGGCATTAAGATGGCAGTTTTTCTCCTACACATATAGCAGAGCTTGACATTATAAACTGGGTCAGGAAGATTCAGGTAGGGTTTTACATTCAGGATTCCATATCCCAAAGTATTCACTTTGTTCAAGTTTGTTGTTAATGTTTATTTTCTGGTTACTTCTATGTAATAAGTGTCAATACCATCATCCACAATCACAGACTAAACACATAATTTTTCACATAGGACATGGAAGAAATTGTCCCTAACCCCAAGGAGATGATAATAGAGTGAACCAGGTGCTATGCTTACTGTGCTGACCTTGTGCCATAGAGCCCTAAACCTGATACCCAGGAGGTTTTGTGGAAGACTGCATTACTTTTGACCACATATGCTGACTTGTATCCTGTGACTCCATATAATATGGAAGGATTATTTATTTCTTAAATCAAGAGTGGATGATTTTTGTTGATCCATAGAATTTTGGCAGTTATGACATGTGCCATTTTAAGAACAGCCTTAAAAGCTAGTGTTTGTTCATCATTATCTTTCTTTTCCCTGCATGTGTCATCATGGATGCATAAATTGAGATGATATCCCTGTAATACTAGATCAGAGGATAGCAACACAGGGCAGAGGCTTATGAACCTGAAATTGCCATATAGTGTGAGTATAATATATATATTGTTCTTTTATGCCATTGAAGTTTTTTTAGCTGTTTATCACTGCAGTGTAACCCCACTGTCTTGACTGCATAATGTCTAATTCATACTTGTTGAATAAATTAATAAAGAATGAGTCTGTTTTTGGTGTCTGATTTTTTTCAAATTACTTGCTATTCCCTATAGAAAATTCAAAGCTGAATGCTGCATGTTTGCAAAAAGTCTATAATCAATAATTAACATGCATATTCAAAATATTTGATAAATTATACATATTTAGTTATAAAAATAATTTTGTCTTGGGATCTGGGACAATTTCATTGAGCAGTTACTAAGCAACAAGGTTTACATAGGTCTACAATAACAATGTGAAAACAGAGGTATTCATTTACTAATTCTTTAAATATTTACTAAGTACCTACTGTGAGACAGGCATTGTGTTTAACACTTCCAATTATTCAAACATATAATATGTGAGTCTCAGTTGAGCAGTTATTTTTTAATTTTCACTGGGGCCTGGCAGGTTGAATCTACCCTGGCATTTAGGAAAGAAATTACATTTTAATACCTTCCATTGTTTCCTTCCCACACAGAGGATAGATGCCCACTGGGAGACATTTGCACTTAAAGACACTTAGATTATTAAAGCAAATTTGATAGGTTTTAATGTTAGCTGAGAGGGTCATTAAAGTTTATATGCCCACTGATAAGGGGTAGCCAATTTCCTCTCCAGAAGAGAAGTTTATTAAATCAAGGAGTCAAAAAAAGTCAAGGCTGGATAGAACCGGAGGACAGATTGCTGGCTATGGGACCTGTGGGAATGGAAGGCTTTGGTTATGAATGGAATAAAAGTATCAGAAGAACCAGCAAGGAGACAATTGGTAACTTGGACCAATTAATGCATTTAATACTTTCAACTTCCTAAACTATGTTCTGTTGATCTGAGCAGGAAAACAGAAATCAGTTTTCCACGGAAAAAAGAGAAGCAGATAATACTGGAAAATTAGGAAGGCCAAATGAAGAACATTGTTCCTTTGGAAATGTCCCTGGCATCTTCTCCTGAGAAGCTGGGATAACTTGCCCTCACGTGTCGACTCTGGCTTTGGCTATGTCTGCCTGAACAGACAGGGTTTCGAGATTATCCCTTCACCTAGAGGTAGCATTTACCTCGCTAGCGTGACTGATGGTATGTTTGCCAGGAGGTCCACCGAAGATTATTAGTTACTAAAGTAGTTACTGGGATAATTTAAGGGATATGTACTATACCAGGATCTAGAGAGCCGTGGAGAAGTCATTGAAATACAAAAGCCATTTTCTTGATTCCTTGTATTGGCCAATATAATATAACCAATATAATGACCCCAGTGTAATGACGCCGTGCATTGTAGTCAACTAGTTGCAAATTCTGTACATCATTCTCTCACTATTGCAAATTTTACCTCTTTCAAGGTTATTTCCCAGTTCTTTGGGGGTGGATGTAGCTTCCTTCAGGCAACAGTTGCAAAATTTCAATTGTAACAGTCATCACCCCTGCTCTGGGCAGCTGTGTTGCAAGTGAAATGGGGGCCGTCCTGCCGTCTCCCTTGTTTCTGCACCTCCCTCCGAGATCGTGTTTCTGTGAGCGTGCGATGTGCTGTGCTCCATTAATATTAATTGTCTTTGATTTCTTGTTTGATAAGAAAGACGTACTTTGACTTCTTGTTTATAAAGTTGTATATTTAAGGCTAGGAGTAACATAGTTATTGGGTCAAAGATATGGTATTTTCTTGCAGAAAAATTAAAGATTTATCCTGATGATCAAAATTTAAAATGCTAAAAATCAATCTGTTCAATTTCTAGTAATATTTGCTATGAGGGAAGAAGTCTTTTTATATAGTTATGATTTTATTAGATACTCCGTTTTCAGAAATAAACTTCTCATCAGCCTGTAGAAGATTCTGATGTGCTTTCAGTCTGTTTGCTAATGTGTTTGTTTCTTGAATCTGTCTTTGTAATCAGAGGATCAAAGCTTTAGGCCTTTTATGGAACATTCAAAGAGATATGCTGAAGTGGGAACCTTTCCTGACATTTGCTGTAGTTGTAATTTTTGCTTATCTTTGTAACCACAACCATGGCATTGAAGGACAACACTCATTTAAATGGTATAAGCTGAAAATAACATAGTTAAGAGCAGTGTTTGATGCTCATATGTGGTTTCTTGGCATCTTTTGTACAGACCCATCTGTTAGATGGCAGAATGCCTATAGACAAGGTAGCATGCCAGTTTTGAGGGCAACAATGCTAATTAAGAGTGGTTCTCAGGGGGCAAGCTGCCTAGTGTTACAGATGCCATTGCCTTGTTGAACCTTGTTTTGCTTCTGGATTACCCTTTTTTTGTATGTAAACCTTTTTAAGTTAATCTGTTGTCTTCGTTTTCCTTTCCTCTCAGAAAGAAGAAAGAAATAATAAAGAAAGAATGAAAGAAAAAAGAAAGAAAGAAGAAAAGGAAGAAAGAAAGAAGAAAGAAAAAGAAAGAAAGAAAGAAAAGAAAAAAAAGGGTAGAGAAGGACTGCTTAGACACAGACTATAAGAGTAATACACGTTGATCAGACTGATTCTGAAAGAAAATTACTAATGAAATCACATACATTGAGAAAGAAAATAAAACCATTTTGCTTTAGATTGCATTTTTCTTCTTTTTCTTCATTTAGGGATACTTGCTGCAGAAGCAGTCCTCGGACACTTACAAAGTGAACAAGCTATTAAATGCACAGAGACATAAAGACCAGTAAATAGTCCATAATTTAAAGCATTAGAGACAAAATTAATCAATTGGCAATGTAACCCATCAGAGATGAGGTTCCTAGAGCATAGGTCAAAAGGTTCTGGAAGGAATTGAATGAGGTGTCACTGACCCAAGGAAAGATAATCATAAATGCTGCTGAGCATAATGAAGGCTAAATAGCACTAAAATTAATTGTTTAGGTTAATAAGTTTTGAAAACTCAATTTAGATCCATGTAGAATTATAAAGCATTTATTTATGCTGGATGTCAGTCACTGGGGACACTGAGGAAGATATCAGAATAAACCCACGCGTGGCCCTTAAGGAACATACAAACTAGTGAGAGGAGTTTAGAAAAGAAAGCTATTGCTTTTGATGGTAGGTGGAATGATGTACATACTAAATAAATGGAAAAAGAACATGTTCTGGAAACATAAAGGGAGAAATCTTAATGTTTGTCTCCCTATGAAAGACTTCAAAGAGGAGAGTGCAGATGAGGTAGTTCTTTAGGAAGCAGTATATTCTAATAAACAGGGTAACTAAGGTATAAAGCTACTAATTTGAAGGACCACTGTGATCAAAGAAACGGAGGTAGAGGTTTGCTTTGTGGCATGCGCCATCCTGAAATCTTAGTGAGTTCCTACAAAGGAAAACTCAAAGCAAAGGTGATACACCACAGGCTGTATGTGAGTAGCAGAGGGCCAGAAAGTTTATTTTAGACAGTTAAATTTGCAAGGTGTGGGTGTGTGTGCTGGTAATCCGAGCAGGCTGGTTAGCTGTGGTAAAAAGATTGAAAATTTGATCCTTACCTGGAAAACTCAGTGTATTAGCAAAGACCTTGTGTTCAATCTCCAGTACTAGGGAAAAGAAAAGTCTGTTCACAGCAGGAAAAAGTTTTGGACAGGTGAAACCTGAGTTAAGGAGTCAAGTTAGGAATGTGTTTGGGGTGAAACCGATAATGTGATAGAATCCCCTTTTTGTACTAGTTATCACCTAAAGCATATGTGTTTTTAAATATACTCACTTAAATTTGTGAGGGCAGAATATCTAGAAATGGAAAAGAAATATGAAGTTAAGATGTAAATTGATTAGCTAAATAGATTTAAGTTGAAGATCAAGAGTTGTCAGCATAATATTTAACTTTACATAGCCACGAAATGAGAAAAAGAAAGAAACTACATTAAATATAACTAATGATGCTCCAAAAATCAACGTGTGGTTGTATTTCCTTATAGAACAAGTTCTGTGTGTGGTTATATTTTCTTGCTTTCTTTGAAGTGAATGTGAGGCAAACATATTTGAGTGCTAGAATTTTTTCCACCTTACTTTTCAGAAAAAATTACAGAAAAAGTAATGGAAGAGGAGATACATAAAAACAGGCAAAATAGTTTATGAAAAATATCCAACCACCCAACCAGTGTAAATAAGGAAAGAAGGTAAGAGCACATAGTGATGGTTATCAATAATCAGGGGTTGAAAAATATCCTTTAACATTCCATCCCGGGAAACTTGGAAATTTAGTGAGACCCTCTTCTCAAAAATATTTCTGGGGAGATAGGTTAGTGTAAAGACCCTGGATTCGGTCCCTAGCACCATAAAACAAATCCATTTACTTTTTACCCTATTCTAGGATAACACTTACCAAGGACATCACCCTGTCAAATGAGAGGATACCATTTGAGAGAGCTGAAGTTCCCCTATAAAAATAAAATGGAGGGATTAGGTAGTAGGTGTGCTTGTTTTAACAATGTGCAATTCTGCAAGAATTCAAGTTCTTCTAGGATTGTTAATGAATAGCTTCGTGAAATCCCACCTTGGCCGTCTTCCCAGGCTCGCTCCTCTTGGCCTCTCCTGTTCTCATTCCTGGTAAGCCAAGTGCATTAGAATTTGATGCACGGTGGAGGTGCGCCCGTGGAGAACCCTATTTGGAGTCAGCCTATTTGATTTACAGGAGGCAAGAATTGCATTATGCAAATGTTCTATTAAAATTACACTAAAATTGAGTTTAAATTATACCTTTCTACACAGAATTAGGCATTTAAATGAGAATAGATCTAAAATGCACTGGGCATTTAAAGCTCTTTGTGACTCAGGCTTTTCAGCCAGAAGAAAGGTAATGGGCTGGAAGATCATTCAGAAAGAGAAACAGAAACATATGAAAAAGAGCCTAATATGAAATGAGTGACCAAAAAAAAAAAAAGTTATTAGCTGATAGAATATTGTAAAGTATATTTTTCTTCTCTATATTTAGGTAGCAATTACCTTATTACATATTTAAATCACAGTCATCTTAGTACATTACTATAGTTCCTTTTTCCCTTTTAGGAGAATATGTCAGAAAATACTTATAGTAATGTGGAAATTACAGCCTTTTTACTATATTGATTAGTCCCATTTAACTCATCACCTGAAAGAGACAAATATCTTATTTGCCCATACACAATTATGGTCAAATTGTGAGAAATTTCCATCATTCAAGCTGAAGGCTATGAAAAACTATAATACCCTTTAAATGTTATTATTCTTAAAATCATTGAAATTATATTGTAGTGGTTTAGATCTAAAATTCCCTGCCAAAGTCTCCATGTCCAGTAATGAGGTTTTGGAAGACGATTAAGCCGCAGGGCGCTGTACTCATCAGTGTATTTGATCTATTGATGAGCTCACAGTCAGAAGTGCTGTTAGGAGACAGGTCCTGGTTGGAAGAGATGGGTCCCTGGGGACATGACCTGGGAGTCTATGCTTGTCCCCTGCTCCTCCATTCTCTCACTTTGCTTCACTGCTTCAATACACTGAGCAGGTTTCCTCTGTCGTGCCCTTCCACCATGCTTTTTCTTCCTTGGAGCCAGCTGACTGACCCTTCTGAAACTGTAAGCCAAAATAACACTCTGCTCCTTTAAGTTATCCATGTTGGATAGTTTGTACCAGTGACAGGAAGGTGGCTAGTAGATGTATCAGTATTTAAAAGTCTATAAATTGGATTAAAACTTTCTTTTCAGTTATATGTAAATGTCATGTTTTTGCTTAAAAAGAGGTGGAGTCTTGGGGGGCAGACCTACTTTGTGGGAGTATCTCTGAATCAGTCTTTCAAAGCAACCCACTTAATGAAGTCTTACTTGATATAATAGATATGAAGGGGCCCTGTTATACCCTCTAGTTCTTTGTAGCTAGAAGTGATATTTCCTTCCATTGCTCAGGGATCTTACAATTAGCTACTATTGGGGTGGACACACATAATGAAGACATCAACGTGGAAAAATAATATTGGAATAATTGACATTATACCCCTTTTCAAGTGTGTTTGTAACACTTAAAATCAAGACATCTTTTGGCATCTAAAGGACTATTTTGAGGTGTATAAGAGTTAAAACACTGTTTGAGTTTTTCTAACTTTATAGGGTTTTGTCAAACAGGGGAGTTGTTAGCTCTTTTTATAGTCAGACCTCTGTATAAATCTTGTACCTCAATAATATTTATTTTCTACCTCTACACAATGGAAATCATGCAAATACTTTTATTTGTAATACTCTATTTTATTCCTAAGTAGAAAGGAAGTTTCTTAATTCCAGGTATGGTTCATTCATTAACGGTTATTGAGAATATCCTGTGTGGTGGGCCCAGTGCCAAGAACTGTCTTTACAAGAATGAAGTCCTTCTCCTCAAGAAGATCATGTTCTGTTGAGGAAGAGAT